CCAAGATAATAAAAGCATCACAATTTTATTTATGGATGTAACGTGTCAAATATCCCCTTTCTTCAAGCTGTGGTAGCCATTAGCTTCACAACTGCCTTCCTGGATCTCCAGTTCTGTTACTCTACATTAGTGTTCCTCAACCTTGGCATCTTTAAGACGTGTGGACTTCGACTCCCAGAATTCCCCAGCCAACATGGCTGGCTGGGGAATTCTGGGAGTTGAAGTCCAGATGTCTTAAAGTTACCAAGGTTGAGAAACACTGCTCTACATATACATCAATCAAACATTCATAAATGCTCCTGATTTTGATCCCTAATGTGTGATCCTAAAGAAATACAGTGTGTCCCAGCAAACAACTTTGGTACAATATAATTTACTATGAATTATTGCTGAATCTCCACTGCAAGCAGAATATTGAGATAAACTCTGGCCATATTGTTACTGGTGCTCCATAGACTAAACATGAAGTATGAAACAAATCTGACAGTGTTTCTTCAGACATTAAAGCAACTGTTACTTCAAAGGGCTCTGTAATGTGGATGTAAAACCTATATAGTCCAAATACCTCTTTTTTGCATCAAGAGAAATCAGATGCTACACAAATAACACAAAAGAGGCTGAGAAATTATTCAAGCCTATCTGTCAAAATACGACAACCTTGTTTTGTGAGACAGTGTTAACCAAGTAGTTCAAGATGGGCTGCAAACTGAAGTATTGTTCTGGCCCTTATTCCTTCCGTGTGTTGGATGTGCCTGACACAGCTGCATGTTCCATCATAAAGAACCTCTGATTGCATGTCATCAGGTGTGACTAGCAATGATTTGGTCCTTTAGCTTGTAGCTCAGAACTGCAGTACACAATCGGATTCTCAAAAAATTCTGAAAGTGCCATTGCATGGACTTTTTTTTTTTTTTGCTTTCCTATTCATTCTGAGCATCTATGATCCATCAGATGATGGTGCTTTCTTAGGAGAATAATATCAGACCTACCCTTTTCCTCCTAAATAGTCATTCTAAAATCATTATATTAATGATTGTTAACATAATGTCAGGATTAATTGGCTTATTTATAGTTTAAAACTAGCAAATACAAACTCTTGTTCTACTTAAGCCATATTTTACATTCTATTTTTATGCTCTAGTGCTTTAATCAGATCTTTTTATTTTGCTAGAGAATTATTCTGCTTTTGCCCATGTTACTCCACAATAGAAATATATTCTGTCATGTAAAGAGCATCACAGGATGCACCTCTTTGCATATTACTTAGCAATTAGCCCCAATGAATTCAGAGGGGTTACTTCTGGATAAAGAGTTTGGCTACAGTCCTACAAACACTCAGGTGTATGTGTCATTGAACTCAGTGGGACTTGTTTATAAAGAGAGATTACACTATTAATATACTTGCAGCTGTTGTATAAGGTCACAGCAATAGTGAGAATGATATTATTAAAAGGAGAGGTAGTAGTGGTTCTTTTGCTGGAGACATATAAGCAGAGAGTAGACAGCTATATATCTGGGATGCTGTCACGACAGGATTTCCACATGGAGCAGGGAATCAGACTAAATAACTCCTATTCCCATCCTTTCGAAGGTCAAGGTGCGAACTTATTTCACAGCCTTAAACAAATTTCAGTCTTTTGCTGGTCTGCCTTAAGTGGTATTATTTTATTGTTAATTTCACTTTGTATGCATATGTGTTTTGTAAACAAACATTTTGTAAATATTTTATTTATACTTCTTCATATGTAATGTTGTAACGTTCTTATTCTTTGGCAACGTATGTTCTCTATGGATAAAAAAAATTACCTTTTAGGCTACTACCTTCCTTATAAATGCAATATATAAAAGATTTAGCACTGGATTGTTTTAGAATATATAATTAATTGTTCTCATAAAATTGACTAAGCCATATATAATACATTCAGTGAGTAGAAGTTTTTATTTTGGCCTATATCGATGGTTCTCATCTAGTGATTCAGCACCGACTAGTGGTCTGCAAGGAGACTACTGGTGTCCATGACTGACAGCAGTAAATAAAAATGCCCAAAATCTCATGTTCACCAAATCTTGCACTATTTTATATTCTCCAGATCTGAAGGTTCTGACATTCTTTATTTTTTTAAAAATGTGTATTTATAGGAGTCCTACAGACACCAGCAGGGTGTGTCACACAAGTCAAAGGTGTAATTAAGTGCTGTGCTATTCACGCATGCCTCATGTACTGGTCATCAAAAGCTTTAAATGATGGAGTGGTCTACATAGAGCAAAACATTTGGAATCACTAGCACATCTCACTATAAAGCAGTGTTTCTCAACCTTGGCAACTTTCAGATGTGGAAATGCTGGGAGCTGAAGTCCACACAACTGAAAGTTGCCAAGGTTGAGAAACCTTGCTATAGAGCAAGATAGGTTGCTCTCCTGCCTGCACCTCCTTACATGTAAGACCTGTTCAATGTTGTAGGCATTATTTCTAAGTTTACATGTATAAGACTAGGCTACTAACATACTGGTTGCATAAGTACCTTCCATTGTATTGTTTTAAATTCCAGCATGTTAGTTTAATATCCCATTATTTATTCCTTGCTGCCAAAAAAGGAATAGTCGGCTGCATTACTGTCTCAAACTTCGTCTCATAATTACTTACCTACTGCAAAGAATACATAATTATGCACAACAAAGCAGTTCTTCCAAAACAGCATGTTACAAATTTTAAGAGATGCAAATCTCCCACTTTTAAAAATAGAAATGTCTGACACATCCAACCCCTCCCCTGCGGCGGCTTCTGATTTCTGCAATTTCATGGTCTACACTAAAATAAGCATTGCAATGTAAGAGTTGGGAAGTTATAGCTCTATCATATTTGGGCAAATAGAACTGTAATAACTGACATTCAGAATATATTACAAAAAGTTGAGACAACCTGCTTTCAGTGAGAGAAAAAGGAACATTATGTAGACTAAGCGGCTTACTTTTAAAAATCCGTATGCGAGAGGCCAGAGATGTTTTTAGTTTAAAAGAAGAAAACCTACTTCCAGCAGGTCACACCCCAATTCCCAACTGAGCCATTAAGAATAACTCTGCTATAACCTATTTCTTAATGCAGACTGAACTTGCATCACAGAGTGATTCTACACACACACACACACACAAATCCCATATGAAGAAACCTAGCATGTACGGACCCTGTATTCGCGGATCCTGTAGATCCTTGGTTTACCAAGGGACTGCAGGAGATGAAGCAACAGAAGAGATGCCTCGAGCACTGCTGGCAAAAAGCGAAGAGCAATCGACCACACACAGGTAAGAGCCTTTATTAGGACTTACCTTATAGCCATAAGGGTGGTGAAGTGATCTTCTCCATGCTTATTGCATCTGCAGATAGCTGGCTGGCCTCCTTGGTTTGGTTCCCTCTTGGGGAAGGAGGAGCCGGGGGAGCCTTGCCGGGCAGCTGTGAAGAATATTCTCAGGCAGTCGCTCAACTTCACTTGGAGTTGGATGCCAGCTGGGAAGACCCTTTGAAAGGGACTAAGACACATCTGAGCTGGGAGGACTTTGAGCCGGTCAATCCTGAGGAAGTGAACAGGGTCCGTGGGGCTGTGAGTTCGGCCACCTGTGTTTTGAACTTATGCCCCTCCTGGTTGGTCAAGGCCTCCCAGGAGGCGTCATACGGTTGGGTCCAGGAGGTGATTAATGCCTCTTTGTGGTGGGGGAGGTTGCACCAGCCTTGAGGGAGGCAGCTTTATCATTGTTAGCCACCCAGAGTTGAGTTCCACAGGATGGGCGGCCATATAAATCTAATAAATAAATAAATAGATTCTCCTGTGTAGTGTAATTGGAATAGCCCCTGCTCAAAGCATTTTCCTAAAACCACTGCCATATATACTACTATTACTGTTATATTATAAATATATATAAATATAATTACATTATATATTATATAGTGCAAAGCTATACATTATTTAACATAACCTTTGATTGGAAAGAAGAAAATGTTCCAGATTTGCAAATAAAAATACTTAGCTAAAAAACAAAACCCCCTTGCATGAAGAAGATAAAATCAAATCCAAACCAATGAACTGATTCTGGTAGGATCCTTGTACAGGTCTGTATTGAATAAGGAGCTGGGAATCAAGACTCATTGCTAGTTAATGCACTGTATTTGATGAAACTCCAGCTCTACAGTGCATTAACTAGCAAGAGAGCATGACCTTGACTTCACAAACACACTGCAATCAGGGAATAGATGGAAAAAAGTTCTGAGTTGGCAGACTTTCCCATTTATTTGGACTTTGCACCAGAATCTTGTATCTTCAGTACACTAATCTACCGTACATCAAAACCTTAGACTTAAGACTTGTGTACACATTTTATCAATTATAAGTTAACTTGGGGAAAAAAAACCAAAAGGTGATATTATGAAATGTGGCTATCTTAAGTAGAAATGTGTAAGACTGTGTTGCAGCTCAGTCCAGCAAATACGTATGCTCAAAATATCTTGTGCAAACTCACAAATCAGATTTGCAATACTGTCCCAATCACGTTCACTCAGAAGGAAAGATGCATTGACGGCAATGTTTTTGAAGCATAGGTGTTCAAGGCCTAGAGCTACTTTTCCTTGAACTAGAAGTAAATTATAGGCATTTCCCAATCATGTGATATAAATCAGCCTTCCCAAATTTGGTTTCCTCCCATTTTGTTGTTTCACAATACCAGTTTGGAATTATGAGAGCCTTTGGCCTCAATTGTGGCTGCTCATATTGGCCATGTGTATTTTCAATATAATGATAATTGTTATTTCTGCTTCAGTTGAACACAGTCTACACACATTGTAAAATAAATTGGCATTTGGAGGATACCATGTTGGGAAAGTCTGGTATCTAAAATTGCTAGTGAAAGAATGCCAAAGCTGATCCACTCAAGGCAGCATACATGGAGTCATCATGCTTGATTTTTATTCTCACAGGACATGAGATACCAGACACGACACTGGCCAGAGTCACCAGTGAGCACACAATCAAAGGGGAAACTGAACCCAGGTCTCCTCAGTCCCAGTCCAACATCCTCCCTAATACACCATGATGCCCATCTTCCAAATGCCACCGATCTCTGTCTAGGCGTGCCCGGGGTAGAAGTATGATTTGTGAACCTAAACGTGTAGCAACACTTCTGATTCTCCGGCTGGTTTACTAAGCCCGGCTCGACAACGTGGATCCCTCCAGGCATCCCGTAACTGGCTCCTCCACGCCGGCAGAGGGCTCACATGCAATCTTCTGTCCAGGTTCGACGTCACGTTGCCACCTCAGCATCCCAAGCCAAGGATGCTTTAGAACCGCCTCCCTGTTCGTCGTCATTGTTCCGCGACAAGGCCCGCGGCGCATGCGCCGTCCTCTCTCTCTCGCACGGCGCGAGGAAAGCGAGCGCGCGATGGAGTCGTTAGTGTCTGAGCTGTACGGGGTTCAAGCTCTGCGCTTTGGGGAGTTCGTCCTGAAGAGCGGCCTAGTCTCCCCCGTCTATATCGACCTCCGCGTCATTGTGTCGCACCCGGCGCTGCTTAACAAGGTATCCGCCTCGCCCGCAAGGCTTGACCGGCATGAGCGGGAAAGTAGTTGTTGTAAGGGGGCGAGACCAAGATGGATGAAAGAAAAGAGGGCGGGGCGTGTGGAATCCTGCCAGCCAATAGCGGCCGCTGGAATTCCTGTCCGGTTGCCGAAGGTGCGGTTCTCCCGAGCTCTGGAGCCCAAGGGTGCGTTTCTGCTGCCTTGATTCCTTTGCCGGTCAAGAGAGCGGCTCAGGAGGTTGTGTATCCCGTTTCTACCAGCAGCTGGTGCTTAAAGTGGCTAACAAAATAGCCTTGAAGATTCCACTGAAAAATAATGAAACTCTGCCTACCAGCGCGGGGCTGCAAAATACCAGATAGCCATTGGATGAGCAAAGAGGTGGAAATCTTTAGCTCTTTGCTGCCGTCTAAGTGATCGTCCGGATATTTGCATCCCAGGTCTGGGAGCCCTAATTAAACGTCATTTAAGATAAAATTGATGCAGGATGATGGTATGAACATACCCATGTTATTTTCTGGGCAACAGTATAGAAGTGGTTAGGATTTTTAGATCATTCAGGTTTGGGTAGGCCCATTTGCTCTGAGAAGTTTCTAATTTTGTTTCTTACTCTGTGAGCATTGCTCGTAGCCAAGATTATGAAGAAGTTCCTCTCCTCACAAAGACTAGTATTTAATGCAGGAGTTTTCCAGCAAAGTTTGGATTTGAAGAGATGGCCTGTGCGGACCCTGGGGAGTAGGTATAACGTGTCTCTAGTTTTCCATGCTGCTTAGTAATTTTAAGCAATAGCATTATGCCCCAGGTAAAAGCTCCAATCCATCTTCACAGGGTAGTGGATTGAAACAACTCAAACGTTACTATGCATCACTGTGATCAGACTATCCTAGTCCAGGAAAGGCCACAATTTGTGTATCAGCTAAAGCTGAAAATACAAAATTGTTATATACTTAGCAATACAGCCACTTGGGACCTTGGGGGAGTAAGCTGAAGTTAGGAGGAATTCCAAACTATACAGCTGCTTTTTTAAGAAGAGTAGACATCTCACTGTTTCCCAGACATACTGGTAATAGATGATGTGTATGTGGGAGTTGTGTGTGAACCCACTTAATCTATTGCTAGAAGTCAAAATGCTTTCTTTTTCTTGGTTGATTAGTTTGTTCTTGAAATGTCTACAAAATGCTTTGAAGTTAAGTCTAGATACTATTATGAAGTTGCGTGCACTGGAAATTATTCTTGAAGGTTCACTTCAAAGACTTAAATCTGAAGAGTAAGTGGGAACACAGATTAAGGATTGGGGACAAGGGAAAGTTATATTAGTGAGGTGAATAATTTTTGCCCATATAAATAAAAGGAGACATGTTTCAGATGACTATTCATTGAACATTTGATGAAAAAGTGATTGTCTCTTTAGTCTCCAGTGTGCTTCAAATGATGCTGAGGAAATTACTGATATACAGGTAGTCCCTGGGTTAAGAACACCCAGTTTATGGACAACCCATAGTTAAGAATGGAGTCTATTGTAGCAAAATTTGAGTTAAATACACAATGATTCAAGTTAAATACACAATGCTTTGAGTTAAATACACAATGCTTTGAGTTCATTACACAGTACTACTTATACAGTATTATACAATAATACTGTTCTGGCTTAG